TCTTAACAAGATTCTATTTTACTATTGCTTTAATGGGAACATCCGAATGTTAGGTTCTCGTTCGTTCTCTCTCTCTCTCCTCTCTCTCTCTCTTCTCTCTTCTCTTCTCTTCTCTTCTCTTCTCTTCTCTTCTCTTCTCTTCTCTTCTCTTCTCTTCTCTTCTCTTTTCTCTTCTCTCCTTCCTTCCTTCCTTCCTTCCTTCCTTCCTTCCTTCCTTTCTTTCTTTCTTCCTTTTTCTTTCTTCTTTCTTTCTGGATAAAAATGGCCTCTGGGAGAGTCTAAAGCAGCTTAAAAGAAATCATGGGCCATGGAAATGGCCAGAACATTCCAAAAGACATTTTTCAGTTAAGAGTTTGAGGTTTCTAATGCTGCCTGCACCAAAACGTACTGAAGTAAGAAATATGAGTTGACAAATTCCAGATACTGATTTTGAAAAGCACAGACCAGGCGTGGTGGCTCATGCCTGTAATCCCATCACTTTGGGAGGCCAAGGTGGGCAGATCACAAGGTCAGGAGATCAAGACCACACTGACTAATACAGTGAAACCCCATCTCTACTAAAAATACCAAAAAATTAGCCGGACGTAGTGGCATGCACTTGTAATCCCAGTTACTCGGGAGGCTGAGGCAGGACAATTGCTTGAACCTGGGAGGTGGAGGTTGCAGTGAGCCAAGACCATACCACTGCACTGCAGCCTGGGTGACAGAGCGAGACTCCATCCCAAAAAAAAAAAAAAAAAAGAGAGAAGCATATAAATGGGAAGGGCAAGAAATGGTGAACAGGTTGCTTGCAGAGAAGTTGGGAAGACTCATTGCTCCACCTTCTATATTCTGTGCAGGACTGCACAGAGTTTGAATGGATTGCCAATGCTCGCTTTGCAGGGTACTCTGCTTGAGTCCATAGGAGTACTGTGTAACCATGCCCAGCAGGGGGGAACTGCAGCTCCCAGCAGCCACTGATCTCAGACGACAGAGCAGAGACCAAATGCCCAGCAAGACCTGCACCTTCTGAGCCAAATTCTTCCTTTCAGTTGCACCCATGTGTCTGACTACCAAATGTTGTGGCTCCAAAGGATATCAAAGGGCATCTGGCCCCAGATGAAGTGAGCAGAGTACTAAGGAGAAGTCAGCCTCATTACAGCAGAACCAATTGGTAGAAACCATCCAGCCTAGCAGAAGAGAAATATGCAAATAAAACGGAGAAAGAGCAACTCTATAATAACTTAGAGAAATGGCAACTTTGCAAATAAAATAGAGGAAAAAAGTACCACTATGCAAATAGAGAGAGAGTGAGAGAGAGCACACAACCAACTTCCGTTGGTTGAACCTAACAGTTGGGTACTCCCATTAAAGCAACAGTAAAAGAATAGAACCCTGTAAGATCAAAGAAAGCATAGGAGCAGATGATAGCTAACAAGAAATGTCTACAAAGTTTAAGAAGATGGAAAGCAGATGGAAGAAGAGTAGATGGGGCAGAGCAAAGCAGAGAAGGCTGAAGCGTACAGCCCTGTGTCTTCTGTGCCGGAAGAGAAGTCCATCCTTAATGTCAACAGCTCATGGTATAATGGGGCTCAGGCCAGGCCCCAGGGACCAGTTAAGACAAGAAAGAGATGCTTACTAGAAATGAGTATTAGATTGGGAGCTGATGAAGTCAAGAACCTGTGCTCAGTAGAAGTGGCAGAAAAGAGAATCAAAAAAGGGGAGTGCTTAGGTTGAGTTGTGTCCCCTAGTAGATAATTTCAAGTCCTAACCCCTGGTACCTGTGAATGCAACCTTACTTGAACTGTGCGGATGTCATCAAGTTAAAATAGGATCATACTGAATTAAGGTGGGCCGTGATCCAATAACTGAGCTCCTTATAAGAAAATGAGAATTTGGAAATAGACACATAGGAAAGAAGGCCATCCACATGAGGAGAGAGGTGAAGGCTAGAGAGATGCAGCAGTAAGCCAGAGAAAATGAAGTATTGCTGGCTACCACCAGAAGCTGGGAAAGGGGCATGAAACCAATTTTTCCTTCTAACCCCTTAAGAAGGAACCAGCCGTGCCCACAACACGTTAGTTTCTGACTTGTGGTTTCCAGAACTGTGAGAGAATACATTTCTGCTGTTTTTATCCACCATGTTTGTGGTACTTTGTTTCAGTAGTCCTGGGAAACAAATCAAGTAAGAGCAGAGAACAGGTAAATGACAGTTGTTCTGTGAAACCCTCTGCTGAGACAAGTTCGAGCTGCCAGAAAAAAAAGCCCTTTGCCTGGCACGCCCGTGAGCTGGCTGAAATGAACATCCTGATGAGGATGACCGGGGCTTTGTGGTCCAGATCTTTCACTGGGGTTGCCTTGGAGCACCCAGAGAAAAGCAAAATCCACTTCTTTAAAGAAAACTTATGAATCACAAAAAAAAAAAAAAAGAAATCTGCCCAACTTCTTCTCTCCCTGCCAAATACAGCTATTGGTACTAAGGAAGCGATTTCACAACAGTTTTTCTATTTTCCATAAATCATCTGTTCTTTGGTTAGGTCCATAGTACACGACCTGCCAATTTTCTTCTGCAGTTGCTGAAGGAACCAGACAGCACAATAAAAACAACCTTTCTGTCCTCACCCAAATCTTCCTTCTGAAATTGGATACTCATGGCTACCAAACACATTTTTAAAAGACCAGAGCAGTTTGAAGAACAGCTCAGAAAGTCTGCCTTCACTGAAAACTCACTCCCTGAGTGTTGCAATGAGCAGAGAGGCCACACCTAGAAGTCACCCGAAGGGGAGGGCTGCAGGCTACGCAGAGACCAGACGTGTGGGCACAAAAGTAGGGATGCCACTAGCTGAGGCTAAAATAAATCCCAAATAGTATGCAGTGCAGGTGGTCTGGGAGGGGCCTAAAGCTGCCTTCCTGGAATAAACAGCTTTTTACCTTTTTAGACTCCTTTCCCATGCTGCAGGAGCTATTTTGCAAAGATGATTGCTTCCTTCTTCGTTTTCAAAGGCCTCCTTCAAGGTCTCCCGGGACAGGTTCTGCTGACGTTCCTTAACACTGAAGTGTCAAGAGAACTTGTTGATTATAAAATATAATAAATCTCCTCAATTCAATTACTTAGCTGTTTCAGCACAATATTTGGATTCAACCAGAGTTGAATTTTTGCCAGACTGAAAATAGTTCTAATTTTTAATGGATTCTGATTCATTCACAGTTAACAATGTTGGCCACTGATACATGATGAAAGGAAATTAAGAAATGGTTATGCAGGTAAAAGTTGTCACTTTAGATGAAATTTACAATTAATCATAGATACTTTATTTTACCCATCCCAAATTCAGTGGATTCACTAACAGCTTTGGAAGACAAAAGAAAACATGACCACATTAGGCGCACTTAACAGTGAAGAGATGAGCTCTGACTTAACATACACAAAAATATGAAAAAGTTTGTTATTGGATGCTGGGAAATAGGGTAAGGAGCATTTGTTTAATCCTCAAAAAAGTCAGTGAAGTCCATGAGGCCCCTGCCTTACAGACATGGGACCTGAGGCTCAGAGAGGTACATGTTTTCCAGGTCACTCAGATGGTAGGTGGTAGAGTTGAAAGTGACCCCAGCTCTACCCGAGAAGATGAATTTGGACGGCCGAAGCCAAGGGGCTAGTTGGCCATGATCTGGTTTCAGTGATCAGCAGAGACCTCACAGCCCTATGTGGAACCTCCAAGACGCCAATGCTGGCGGTGGATTTTCCAGGTTCCTTTTCTTTCCTTAGAAGCACAGGAAATCTACCGATTTTAGGTATATGCGATAACTAGCAGCTCTTTGTAACTGTCCGCAAAATCAACACAGCCTGTTCTCTGCTAATGCCAATACAGAACCACAAGTTATGCATTTAAATTACTATATCTTATAGCAGGAGTGTCCAATCTTTTGGTTTCTCTGAGCCACATTGGAAAAAGAAGAGTTGTCTTGGGCCACACATAAAATACACTAACACTAAAAATAGCTCATGGGCTAAAAAAAAAAAAAAATTGCAAAAAATTCCCACAATGTTTCAAGAAAGTTTACAAATTTGTGTTGGGCCACATTCAAAGCTGCCTTGGGCTGTATGCAGCTCGTGGGCCGAGGGTTGGACAGGCTTTTCCTATAGTCTTGAATAGTCATAAATTGGGACTGCAGATTTAAAAATAACAAATCCCTCAACTCCATTTAATAACCGAGTTGAACTCAGAGATGTTCCATTGGAATGACATTCCCTCAATGGATCCTGGAGGTGACACTAAGATGCACTTACAAATAATGTGCAACTGCATTTCAAAGACTGACCTTTCCTGTGAGACACGCCTTAATGTTCTATAAGTCTGGGGTCTTCCATAAGACTGCTCTCTCTCATAAACTCAGAGGTTCGTAGATTATTATAGTGAAAGGATGAGAATCAGTGATTGAAAGAGGAGAATGAACTCCATGAACTGCCCTCACCCTTATCCACAGCCTCAGCTTTTCAGAGAAAGCATACTTAGAACTTTTATTTTACTTTCTAAAATCAAACCAAGGTGGCTAGTGAATACATTCCAGTTCTTCCTGGAGCCCTTCTAGCCACCTAAAAAAAAAGGGGACTGTGCTTTTTAACAAAAGGACCAAAAAACTGCCGATTCTTAACGTTGGCTGCACAGTGGATGTACTTAGGAATTCCAAAAGCTACAAATGCCAAGGCCCATATCCAGAGATTTTGGTTTCATTGGTCTGGGGTTCAGTCTGGACAGCAGGAGTTTTTAAAGCTTCCCCTGTGATTTGAGTCCATTGTCAAGGCTAAGAACGTCTGCTCTTAGGCAGGAGGTCAGCCAGGTCCTTGACCTCCATTGGCCACCAATGGGAGCGAAGTGGCCATTTTTGCAAGTCTGATTTGATTTTACTATTATTCTATTTACCAGTTTTTTTTTTTTTTTT